ACCAGATCTCTTTCTGTGTATAATATTAAAATTCATAATTTTCTCATTTATTTCTAGCATTTTCTCTCTGAGTTATTTTTCTCTTTGGTTCTATTTATGATATTTTTAGCGATGGTTTTAATGTACTCTTGTATGGTTTCTCAATGTTTTAGCCTAGCCTCCTTACTCACCCTCAGAAATAAGCAAACATTCCAAATTATTATCCTTATCATGAATAACACGTAGAAATCATCATGTGTGCATTGTGTCAAGTCAGAGTGCAGGCATGCCATTGTGCACTTGTGGAGGTCGGATGACACCATGGTCTCTGAGAATCCCAGGCAGGGCAGGCTTGCTCATCCAGCCCTTTTACCCACCTGGTCAATGTGGGTGAAGGGGTAGCGAAAATCAGGCCAAATGCCCCAAGGGAGTTGACTCTGGAGTCTTTGGAGGCAGGTTGGAGTCCTGACTTCTCTTAGACAGACACGCAGTCCTTTACCAGGTAGACTGTGCCCTGCTTCTGCGGCTTTCGATTCTTCCTATTACTGGGATAACTTTGCACAGACTGACCTGAAAACAGCACCCATAAGGCTGCTCTCGGTCTGGGTCTGGCTCAGCTGGCCTACAGCCTTGTACCTTGGGGCAGTGGAAGCCAAAAGCCAAGCTAGCAGTCAGGATCTGACGATGTGGAGTCAGTAATCCCAAGGCCCTAAAGAACCTAGAAAGCAAGGTTGTTAGTGGACACTGTGAGTTCAGCATGAAATGAAAATCTGATAACTTTTTTTAAAACCAAGACTTGGGCTACAGCAAGAACAGAATATTGCTGGAAACTCAGTCCACACTGGGGGAGGACAGGATTGAAATTAGAGAGAAAAGAGGAAGATTTTCGCAGTCTGAGAGGTAGGCGTGGGCTGGAGAATAGCAAAAGGCGAAAACACGAAGGAACTAGTAGACAAAAATGGCAGATCTACGCAGCTGAATTCTATTTAGCTGCTAAAGGGAACAAAGCGCTGATAAATGTCATAGCGAGGGAACCTGGGACACGCGGCTTGCCAAATGAGATATACCAGACAGAAAAGGTCACATATTATATGATTTTGTTTGTATGAACCACTCAAGAGAGGCAAATGCATAGAGGGGGAAGCAGATTAGCGGTAACTGGGGCTGAGAAGGGGAGAGGGGGATGTGGATGACTGAAGGTGGGGGGGGGTTCTTTAGGAAGTGAAGAAAATTCTCAAATCGACTGTGGTGTCTGGTGAATGAATTATATATAAATAAGGCCTTACCAAAAAGCAGGGGGAGAAAAGGAAGTAGTTACATCTCAAATTCATGCTCTCTCTCTCTCTCTCTCTCTCTCTCTCTCTCTCTCTCTCTCTCTCTCTCTCTCCTCTGTATTCGCCTTCTGTATAACAGTGTGAGGAGACTCCCAGGTCCTCTTCTCTGGGAGGGGGTGGGAGGTGGGAGTGGAGTGTGGGACGACTTGCTTCCTTCCCATTGACAAACAGGAAAACAAGCCCAGCTCTAGAGTCAGTAAGCCCAATGGTCATTGTCGCTTCCAGCCTGGGTAGCCTTAAGCAAGTCACTCCCTCCTGTGGCCTCAGCCTTTTAGCCACAGGTGGTGGGGTCTGAGGACTCGCAAGCACCTCTAGCGAAGGTAGCGAGGAGGGCTGGGTACCTGCAGCCGTGACGTCCCTCGATGCAGAGCCGGGCGGCCCTGCGCGACCCGCGGGAAGGCAGGCCGGGCCAGGCCGGGGGGCGGCCGCACTGCTCATCCATCAGCCGGACGAAGAGCAGAGTCGCGCTCTCGGCCCTCTGTTTGCTTTCTCGCCAATTATTGCCGCGCCGCGGCCCCTTTGTTGATACAGTAGTCCGAAAAAGTGCTAATGTTCATTTATCAGGGGGCCCGCCGGGGACTCCCTAGAGTTGCGATTCTTCCCAAAATATAAACACGGGGCGAGCGTCCCAGACAGAAACCCCCATCTGTTTCCCCAGCGCGGGCCAAGAGAGCGAGGCGTTGTTGAAGATAAAGCTACGGATAACGCCGCCTGTCTCCAATGGACGTCTCCCTGGCGCATTAATGACATTCCGGGTGATAGTTGCAGCTTATCTTTCAATTAATCATATATACCTTTCGCGGCCGGCGCTGCTGATTGCAGGAAAGGGGGGGGGGGGCGTGCGGCTCGGGGCCGCGATGATCGCTTTTCAATCAATAATTTATTTACGCAGAATGCGCTGGAGCTACCCCGGAATTTGACTAATCCTAGAGCACCACGTCTTTAAAAGGCAAAGAAATATCCCCGCAGATTTTTCGCTGTCTTCTTCAGGCTCTTTTGTCTCTGTCCCTTTCAGCTGGCTGTGTGTTTGGCCAAGTGCTTGCTTACCACCAGGTTGAGCCTGCCGCCCTTAGCGAGAAAGACACGCCCTTCCCAACCATTGTAACTTCTGTTTAAGTAATAATGATAATATATTATATACATACATACATATATACATTCCTTCGATACTGGCTTGAAGACAGCCAGGACTGAAGCCAAGTTGGAAAGTGCTCTCTGGACAGTTCTCTGCGGAAACCCCCACCGGTCACCCCAATTCTATTTTATCTATTTATCTCACTTTGTCCTGCTTCCTCTCCAGAGAGAAAGGCCAGGGTCCTTTCACCAAGGTTGTAGGGGGTGGGAAAGTCACTGATTTTGTTCAAATTAGAAGGGTTTTCTTCCTTTTTCTTGACACCTGACCCACAGATCTGTCAGCTCTGGGAGCCCTTATATCCGAAAGTAAGTGACGGATCCTCACCATGTTGATTTGCAAAGGAAATGCCCCTCTTCTTCAGAACTATCTTTAAAAAAAAAAAAAAAGAACTTAAAATAGGGATCCCGGATGCAGCCCCGATGTGTACCCTTCCCCATTAAATGGTAATATTTCAGGCAACGGCTCACACTAATCTTTCAAACTGTCATCGCGATCCGCAGGGCCAGCCGATTCACTTAACAGGGCTCCCAGGACCCTCGCCCCAAGCTGTTTTCAGCGAGACATTTAATTGAATCGGATGTGGCTCGTTTGCCAGACGTCACCGCCTGGGTGATAGGCATTCCATCCGACCCACAGAAACCAGTCTTCAAAAGCAAGGAGGGTCCCCAGCTAGGTTGGCTCAGAGCAGTAGCTGTGAAGTGGCCAAAAGCCTCAGCAAGAAGGGGGGGGGGGAGTAGGGTACCTGGAAAAGTGCAGACTGACCTTCGAGGGGGAATACACTGGAAGGTGGGGGAGTGGAGAAACAGAGGTCCGTGGGCTTTGAGCCCCCACATCTTTGGGAAGGCTTCCTCTGCAGTTGGAGCCAGCAGCTTCAAAAAGCTCTGTGGTCCTTGGGTTGAGATCTCATGATGGCTGCCCAGTCTGGAGCTGAAGGCTGAAGCCTGGAATTGGGTTTTCTGGGCCAGCGGCTTTACAGTCTGTTTGGAGCTGGGCTTTCCTTCTTCCTCAGTTGAAGGCCCAAGGCCTTGAGAGTTTGGGTTTGATGAAAGAGGCCCAAGTCAGGCCTATGCTGGCTTCAGTATGGCCCAGATGGTGCCAGCGCTCTCCAACAGTCCACGGTTCTGCCAGGGGGCACGGTCTACATTTTGTATTGACACAATTTTACCCCTCTGGGTTTTGGGCCCATGACTTAGGAGAGGCTTGTTTATCTAACCTTTGACCCTACACACTCCCTTTTTCTATTCTAAGAGCCTTTTCTGGGGTGGTCAACTAGCCCTCCAAATCCTTTGCCCTCCCTGCCTATGCTCTTACAGCGGCAAGCTTTACCATGCGTTGAAGGGGAAGCATTTGCTCGGAGGCCCTGTGCCTTCTCTTTCTGAGATTATAGCTGGATAAAGCTCCCGTATGCCACGTGGAGGTGGAGGTGGGGGTTCTGGGAAGACCCAAGTGTTCCTTAGATCCAGTCGGTTCTACTAGGACAAAACCTGGGCTCCTTTAAGCCCTGACGGGAGCACCATGGGACTGAAAATGCCCCTCCACCTGCCTTGTTCTGCACCCTGCCCTGTGGAATGAAATCCTTGGTAGGCCCCCAGGGACTTGGGGCTAAAGAGTCTGGGAATCTTGTTGGTGGCCAAGGAGGAAGGGGAAAGAAATGAAGCAGCTTGGGCTGCAGGAGAAGCGGGGCACACACCAGAAGACAGCTTCTCTTCAGGGAGCCCAGCGGAACCTAGGTTGGCTTCCTCACTAAAGAGTTGAGCCCTTAGTGAATGGTTCTCCCGGGACAGGCGCTTACACAACTTAGTCTACTTCAGGTGGCCACTCCCACCCCACAATTAGCCACTTCACCTCTCCATTCAGTTTGACTTGCTCAGAACCCCTTGGGGCCTGCGCGGAATCCTGGTAGAGATTGGTCCTGTAGGTCAAATTAAGTACCCCCACCCCCAAATTCCCAAGTTTGTCTGTCAGCCCAGAACAAGGTCTCCTTTGAGCTTCTCTTCCTATGTGGCGGGCTATTCACAGCCAGACTTCAGTAATCAGTATTTTAGTGACAGTCTTGATTCCTGTAAATAACTCCCAGTCCATCTTAGCTAGCCCACTCAGTGATGGGTGCAGAGGAATATTTATTCAAACCCCCCGGACCCAACTCAAAAGAGTCAGGTATTTTCTTTGAGTGAGTCTTCCTGGGGTTTTCAGGCCAGTGAGAAGCAATCTCCTGCAGGGGTCGGACTCTCTTCCAAATGTGTCACGGCCCCTTTAAAAAAGCTGGGCAGGATTTTTCCCCCAACCCTATGTCTATATTAGGTGACGCAGAACTGCCCGTCGCTCCTGTCATCGAGGCCCCTGGCCCAATGGCAGACTGAGTCCCCCTGCTCCGTCCTACTCCCGCCTCTTCTGCCCCTGGTGCTCCGCGCTACCTGCTGCCCCCGCCACATCCAGGGCAGAGAGGCGGGTGCGCGGGCGGGTGGCGGGCACCATGCGGGGAGGCTGTCCCCGGGGGTGGGCAGCGCCACTCTCTGCCGCCCACCTGGCGCTGTGAGACCAGCGCCGCCACCATGTTCCCCAGCCCAGCGCTCACACCCACGCCCTTCTCAGTCAAAGACATCCTGAACCTGGAGCAGCAGCAGCGCAGCCTGGCCGCTGGGGACCTGTCTGCGCGCCTCGAGGCCACCCTGGCGCCCGCCTCCTGCATGCTGGCCGCCTTCAAGCCGGAGGCCTACTCCGGGCCCGAGGCCGCAGCACCCAGCCTGGCAGAGCTGCGCGCGGAACTGGGCCCCGCGCCTTCGCCCCCCAAGTGCGCTCCTGCCTTCCCAGCCGCCCCCGCCTTTTATCCTCGTGCCTACGGCGACCCTGATCCGACCAAGGACCCACGAGCGGATAAGAAAGGTAAGGAGAAGCCCAAGCCCTTCCCTTCAGGAATCGTACTCAATGCTCAACCTCCTGGGCCAAGAAACCCAGGCCAGGCAGAAGAGCGCCTGGGCTGAAGTTGGGCGCACAGAGTTTGGAGTTTAAGATTCCAGGTTGTCCAGTATCTTCTCTCAGACAATCGATAGTTTAGAAGAAACGCCGAATTTAGAGGGTCAGGAAAAGAGAGAGGGACTTAAAAATATTGTTTTCGGCCTACAGAGTCCCAGTTGATTGGGGCCTTGCTTTTGGGTCTGTTACCAAGTTAAGCTATCTAACAATTCGCGGCGGAACAATTCCTGTCGGAGGGTTAAAAACCTCCTTTGTATTTACGAATATTTTGAGTATTTTGAGACACTGAGAACTGCTAAACAGAAAGTTCAGCCCGCGGGTCCTGAGCCTTTCGTAGCCCATCCTGCCTTTCTGGGCCTTTCCTTCTTTGTGCCAGGAAAAAAAAAAGGAGTCTGAGAACAGGGCCATGGGATGCTGTGGACCTCAGGAGCTGGGTTTGGCTTTGTTTCTCCAGCACTATTTCCAGGCAGGGCCAGGCAGAAGTTCTCTTCTGGGAAAATATTAGAAAATATGGAACAAACGAAGACGCTAGGGAGCAGAGAGAAGGCTTCTGAAAGGAGCTGTATACAAGAAGTCTTAGAGTAGAAGAGAATGTCTGGCCTGCTTACAGGAGGCAGACACACTGGTGGAGACCCAGGCACTGCTCCGGTTGTCTGGGCAAAAGCCAGGAGGACCCAATGGCTTCCTTGAGCTAGGAAAGCATTCGTAGGTTTCTCTAGGATAGGAGAGAATTCTGGTCCAGGAACATTCGAGGAGGACTAGAATTGATTGCTACCGACTCACTCGGACCCTGAAGAGCCGGTGTAGAGTAGAGGCCTCTGTCTCAGCTCCCGCCACGGTTACTGGGAGGTCGAGAAATCGCACAAACACCAGCTGGCAGCCCCACTGGGGCCCTCCAAACTTTGGGCCTTCTAGATATTTAATTGTTTGATTAAAGGTAAACTGACCACCGAGAGTCAAACCGAAGTATCGCTGATGTAATTCATCTCCCGAGCGTCGTTATGATTGCATTTTCTTTACATCCAGAAAAACTAAGCCACGTACTTGCGCTTAGAACGTGAACTACCGGGGGGGGGGGCGGGGAGGCGGCAAGATTTCTCTTGTTTCGTTTTGTCCTGCAGCACGTAGGGTGTCCACACCACTTAGGCTTTTCCCAGACGCGCAATTGCTCCAACATCGAACCCCGGGCACCGAAACCGAGCTGGGCGCCCCACGCAGGATAGGGCGGCAACCCCACGAGGGTCCTGAGCTCCTGGGCTGGCCGCTCTAATCGACTATTTATCCGCCTCTCCTCCCCCTTCAGAACTGTGTGTGCTGCAGAAGGCGGTGGAGCTGGACAAGGCCGAGACGGACGGCGCCGAGCGACCACGAGCGCGGCGGCGGAGAAAACCACGCGTGCTCTTCTCGCAGGCGCAGGTCTACGAGCTGGAGCGGCGCTTCAAGCAACAGCGGTACCTGTCCGCTCCCGAGCGCGACCAGCTCGCCAGCGTGCTGAAGCTCACGTCCACGCAGGTCAAGATCTGGTTCCAGAACCGGCGCTACAAGTGCAAGCGGCAGCGGCAGGACCAGACTTTGGAGTTGCTGGGACCGCCGCCGCCGCCCGCGCGCAGGATCGCGGTGCCGGTGCTGGTGCGCGACGGGAAGCCCTGCCTCGGGGACTCGGCGGCCTACGCGCCCGCCTACGGCGTGGGTCTCAACGCCTACGGCTACAACGCCTACCCCTACCCCAGTTATGGTGGCGCGGCCTGCAGCCCCGGGTACAGCTGCACCGCCTACCCCGCCGCGCCCCCCGCCGCGCAGCCCGCCCCCACCGCCAACAGCAACTTCGTGAACTTCGGCGTCGGGGACTTGAACGCCGTGCAGAGTCCCGGGATGTCGCAGGGCAATTCGGGCGTGTCCACGCTGCACGGCATTCGAGCCTGGTAGGGAAGGGACCTGCCTGGGGCACCCCGGACCGACTTCCACTTTTAGAAGGGCGATGACTCCGGGGAAGGAAGGGCTCCCACTAAGACCGGTCCCTGGGATTTCACAAGCATTCTTATGCTGGCCTGGGAACTTTCTCCGCTCCATCCCTTTGTTCCCGGTGCGTTGACGCAGCCTGGAGTCTCGGCCCTGGGAGAGTCCTTTCAGGGCCACAGGCACCCCTGGACGGATTCCACAATGGGCCCCGGAGCCCGGGCACGCGGGCCTAGAATCCCGGAGCCTGGGCCGGGCGCCCGGGCCCTGGCTGCCTTGCCGCCGCCCACCCACCCGTATTTATGTTTTTACCTCTTGCTGTAAGAAATGCGAACCCTCTTCCCATTAAAGTGAGTGCGCTGACGCCACCTGCGTGCTTCTTTTAGGATTTCTGAGCACAGAGGTCGCCTCCAGGTCTCAGGCACAGGCTATCGCTGGACAAATCCATAGAACCTCTACAGATGAAAGCTAACACACCCAGCGCCCCTCGTTAGGCATTTTCTGAGGTCGCATCGTATTTTCGAAGGGGGCGGCCTGCTTTCAAGGTTAGCGGCAAAGGGCGCAAGAGGTTTTATCACTGTGAGCAAATAGGCGTAGCCCAAGGGGTCAGTTTCTTTTCCCTTCAGAGCGGGAGAGCGCCCGAGGGAGCCCAACTTCAACTCCTTAAACCCTAATGCGGACAACGCTGTTTCTGGCCTTGAGAGGAGGAGAGCAGCGCCAGTAAGTGACTTAACACCGTAGCCGCAAGGGCCCACGTCCAGGTTCCCCTTGACTCTGCTCTCCACAGAAGACCCTGGGGTCCCCTGCCAGTCCCAATAGCTGCCCGGCAAAGCTCCCAGACCGAGTGGGAGATGGCTGTGAGAGTTCATGATTTCAGGGGAGACCCTACCACCTGATCGGTACCTTCCCTCATCAGGCCACCAATTTCACTGTAGTTAATGACCAATCTAACAGCTCTGCTGTTTTTTTTTGTTTGTTTGTTTGTTTTTGTTTGTTTTTTCAGATGAAAAAAAAAAACATGTTTGGTGAAAGGGATGGAAGCTGACAGTTGTGGGGCTTGCCCACTGCCTCTCAACTTTCTGTACCGGGGCTCAGACTTCGGCTTCTCTATCCCCTGCACCAAGGGCCAAATAACTAACCTCACCTTCGAAATCAGGATGGGGTCCTGGCACTGCTCTGAAGCAGTAGCTTTTTGGCCGAGGTCAGTCTCGGCGCCCCTAGAGCGCCTTGACATTGCTTGTGGAGTTTAGGACTGGAGCTCTGAAGTGAGCCGGTGAGGTCCAGCCTAGCGCTGTCAGGAGTCAACCAAACAGCTTGCTTGCCAGTCTCTGGATTCATAGTGGACCAGGTGACTGGCCGTGCTGCCTCTCAGGGTCCTAGAGGATGCTGGGAAGATGAAGATGCAGTTGCACATAGTTGTCCATGGCAGGGTTCAGGGCTGGGCGGTGTGAAGAAAGAGAAGGGTGCACAGTATGTGCCCTCTCCCACACCCGCAGGCCAGCACTGCCTTTAGATAGGTCGATGTACTCAGCTCAGCCGCTTAGCATTCCATTTCCAGGGTCTGAGCAAATCCAACCTGCAGCAACCGCTGCTTGCACCAACACAAAACCGCAAGTCCACTTAACCCACGATTGTTTTTTTACTCTTTTTGTAACTCATCAGTGTGATTTATGAGGTGCGAGTTTTGTAGATGGCAGCCTCCTGTCAGAATGTCAAAAGGCTGGACACGCCTGCCTGTGCCCATGTTCACTTTCAGGGTCTCTGCTGCTGGATGCAAGGCAGTGTGGGCCCATTTCTCAGAGGGATGCACTGAGCCTTGTGCCAGCTCAGGGAGGGCAGCACTCTACCACTGGTCAGCCCTGATGCCTAACACACAGTCGGATTCACAGCCTGGAAAATCCTTCCGGAATCATCTCACTTTTGTAAAGATTAAGTTTTGCCTCTCTGGGTTCTGCAGAACCTTGGACCTCCTCGGTTTGTTCGTTCGTTTGTTTTTCATCTTATATTTGTATACAATAACATCAGAACAAGTTTTTTTTTCAATTAACATTATACATCACCCCTGCTCTCTGCACTCCCCCCAGTGCCGGGGATGGTACCCAGAGCCTTGCACACACTAGGCAAGCCCCTTGCTGTTGAGTCGCATCCCCAGCATTGAAGAGTTTTTCATGACATCTCCTCCTTTCCAACTCCTCTTTCAGGGGCAGCAGAACCCCACCTTTATGTTTGTTTGTTTTTGGAGACAGAGTTTCTCTGTGTAACCCTGGCTGTCCTGGAACTCCTCCATAAACCAGCCGGCCTCAAAAACTCTGAGTTCCACCTGCTTGCAGGGATTAAAAAGGCATACACGACCACCACCAGCTCAAGAAAGCTGTGACTAGCTGGCACCAATGAAAGGGTAGTCTAAAACCAGACCCTGGGGTGGGAGTGTAGGGAGAGAACGCTTTTTAGTTCTGCAAGCCAATCTATTTTCATTTGCATATTTGCCTTCAATGCTCACGGTGGCAGCTTTTCTAAAAGAGAAACTGCAAATGGTCCCAGAGGCCTTGATTCCAAAGTTGAGGGGATATTATGTAGCAAAGATACAGCTGGCTGGTTCCGTGGCTCACAAACCTAGGCAAGGGAATTCCAGGCCTCGCCAGCAGGCTTCTTATTCTCCTTAGCCAGCAAAGCACAGTTTAAGGAGCCCCGTGGAGAAGCACTGCCAAGGTTTTCAGTCCCAGAATCAAGGCACTCCTGGGTCAGGACTGTGTGTGCTAAAGGAACCCAGCGCAGCACCCCAGTCTTCCTTCCCAGGCGGTAGGTGTTGGCTGCTTGTTTGTCAGTTGTTACATAAACGATGTGTGCAGGATAAGAAAATTTAGCCAGGGGGGAAACATGGGAAGCCAGGGAGGCAGAGCTCAGACGAGGGGAGGCGCAGGCATGCCATCGGACTTGGGCCAGTGGTGGCAGTGAAGAACACAGCAAACTAGTTTCGTTTATTTAAAAAAAAAAAAAACACTCAAATGGAACATGTGTGTGTAGTTTAAAAACATTCTGAGAAAAATAGTGGCAGTAGAGGAGGTGAGTTTGCACTGATCTCCTTCCCCACCAGTCCCAAGGTTTTGCCAGATTGGAACACTCCCTGACTTAATTTGAGTAGCCCCATCTTCTTTATTAATATTGTCATTAGTGTTGTTTTGTGTGTGTATTTGTACGTGATGATGTTTGAGGACGGCCATGTAGATGTCACCACACATGTGTGGAACCCTGGGTTCCCGGGATGCAGCGCAGGTCCTGGGCCTTGTCCTCCTGACCCTGCCTTCTTGTTTTGCTTAAATTGCTCCAGAAGCTGACAGCAGGTTGTATATCTAAATACCAGTATTTAGGCAAAGAGAGGGGTCCTTCAGTTCCAGACCTGAGAAGCACCCACATGTGGCCCCTCAGGTCTCCAAGAATACATTTTCCCCTGTTTTCCCTGTTTTCTCCCCAAACTCTCCTCGCCCCAGCAGGTCTTGACTGGAGACAGCAGCCCCATGGTCCACACTGGGCTCTTGGAGAAAAGAGCCTATGACCTAATGTCATTTAGTCATAGAGGTGACTATTAGCCCTCTTAGTAGTGCTGGGGAAACAGGTGGAGGCATCTTGTCCCCTCCCTGGAAAGAGCAGGAACTTGCCCAAGAGAGCACAGCTAGAGTTTACTTTTAAATCCCAGCAGCCCAGTTCCAGGGCCCTAGAGTCAGGCACAAGATCAAGCGCTGCTCAGAGATGGCAAAGAGCAAACACCAAAAAGGCCTTTCAGTCAGTTACGCACACAGGAATAAGATTAGCTCCTGCCTGGGAAATTTCCTCATGGGAGCTTACAAACCTGTGAAGCATCTCAGCGGGAGGGCATGACACTTGGGCTACTGGATTGCTGGATGGCAGACTAACCATCTTGCTTCCTTCTGCTGCTCTTCAGGGGAGAGTTTGTCCCCCCAGAGTATTGTGAGCGGTGAAGAGACTTCACAAGGTGGTACCCCAGAGCCAGCACAATGCCCCCCTCCCAGCCCCATCTCCTGCTCCCTCACCTCACATCCTCTGGTACAGGCTGGGGGTGCAGCAGGGTGGTGGTGCTAACTGCTGATCCTGCACATCTCTGTTGTCGTCTTCCAAGGAGGAAATTGTCACCCAGACAGGCTAAGGACGTCACCTGCCTAAGGCCACTCAGGTTTGGATCCAGAAGGTTCCAGGAGAACCAACTCCCAAGGCACCCAAAGTCATCTTCAAACTTCTCTGAAGACACACACGGCCCTGAAGTCCCTGCCTGCTCAGCTGCATAGTGGACCCCTAGGCTAGACCAAGGCTCTGTTGATGACCAGGTGTCCTGGCCTTGGGCTCCAGCTTGAGCTGGGAAAATTTGGAGTCAGATTTCTAGGCCCTGCTTCTTGGTGACTCTATTCATTGTGACCCAGGGCAGAGACACAGCCTTGCAGCCCTCAGGGCCCTAGGGAGTGCGGGGGAGGGGGCGGGGGAGAGAGAGAGAGAGAGAGAGAGAGAGAGAGAGAGAGAGAGAGAGAGAGAGAGAGAGAGAGAGAGG